GAAGGAGAGGAGAGGAAAATATTTACAGAAGCTTTTGCAAGTTGCAAATGCCTTGTGGTCTCTGTAAGGTATTGGTTCTCCTGATACTGCACTGCACTTTCTCTGCCATGGAAGCAAGAGGTCGGTGCTTTTCATTTCCAGCTAGCATGTTAGTTACCCTACCTCCTGGGGTTAAACATCTCTGCAGTGACCTGTCCAAGAGTTGATTATTAACTGTATAAAGCCAGGGATGCTGTAGGGCGCAGATGGAAAGTGGTTTGGCTGCTGCAGCCAGGCTGATTAAAAAATCCTCAGCAATTTTACAGTGTATCTTTGGAAATGTACCACCAAAGTTACCGTGAAGCCTGCTGGGTTTGGAAAGCTGGATTTCTGAAAAGTCACCTGCTTGAAAAGTTATAATTATGAAAACTCGTAAACTTGCAAAAATAGGAGGACAGTGGCGCTCTAAAAAACATCGGGACCACTAAAGATCAGTCCTCAAGATGTTTTCTTTGTTTGCATCCTACTCATTCAGAAATTGTGGGTAGGTTTCTAGTGGGGAAAGCACTTTTTTTGTGTGTGAGGAAGGTTGGCCCTGAGCTAACATCTGCCAATCCTCCTCTTTTTGCTGAGGAAGACTGGCCCTGGGCTAACATCCATGCTCATCTTCCTCCACTTTATATGAGACACCGCCACAGCATGGCTTGCCAAGCAGTGCATCAGTGCACGCCCAGGATCCGAACCGGTGAACCCCGGGCCACCACAGCGGAGCGCACGCACTTAACCGCTTGCACCACCGGACTGGCCCCGGGAAAGCACTTTTTGATAGGTACATTAATAGAATTATAGATTTGAAAAAGGCCCGAGGCATGTCCAGACTACCCCCTACCACATATAGAGAAATTAATTATGTAATTTGCTTGACAGGTGGTTATGCTTTTTCTGCACAATACTTTCAGTGATAAAGATATGGCTTCATTAAGCATTGTGGGCCATTGTTGGAAATCTCAAGTTATTAAATTTTTTCCTGAGTTAAACATCTGTCTTTCTGTAACTTCTACTCGCTGGTCCTCTTTCTATCCTCAGCGTAAGTGTCTGTCTTCCACATTGCAGCTATTGTATATTTGAAGCTAACTAGCTTGTCTCCCTTCAGTATTCTCCTTTCTAGACTAAAGAATACCAGTTTCTAAGACCTTTCCTCTTATAATGGCTTCTGGGTCTTTTACTCTTCTGGACTTCCCTCCATTTAACGAATATCTCCTTTAAGATGTGGAACCTGGAAAAGAGCACAGACCATCAGAAGTTCTTTTCGTTTCCAACTCCCTTTTGAGAAGAAGCACAATTTTAAAAAAATGTAACGGTAATATTTCTTGTTACTAGAAAAAAACAAAGCAATTTGCCGTGACGTGTGGAATTGGGACAAGGAGAATTTGAGGAAGTGTCTTTCCTTACTGGTGTTAAGGCTGAACTTTTTGAGGTTCTACATTTATTATAAGCGTTGATATTGCCTTGTCTTTTTCAGGAATAATTTTTAATGTCTGCATTGAGTTTACTCTTCAGATTACAAAAGTCAGTTGGTATTTGAGTTTATAAGAATTATTCAAATTTATGCTACACTGAACTCATTTTGGTGCCTCAGATAATTTTTAACAAGATGGATATATTATGTGTTCTTATATAACTGAAAATCTGTCGCTTTTACACATGACAGACAATTTGACTCAGTGTAAAACTCTTGACCAACAACCTTTTCTCTTCAAAATTCTGTAAATTTTTCATTCTCTTTTAACATTTAATACTGCAGAGCAGTCTGAGGTTGGCCCAATTTTTGTCCTTTGTAATTTAAAATTTTTGCCAGAATGTGTGCAAGTTTGGCTTTTTAAATTGATTTTGCTGAAAAAGTAATGAACCTTTTCAGTCTGCATGCAAGATCTTTTTCAGTTCAAGATGTTATTTATGTCTTGATGGGTTGCTTTCCTCTCATTTGTTCTAGCCTTTTCTTCAGTTTTCCTTTCAGTGTTATTAAATGCCTTATCTCTCTCTTTCCTTCTTTATTTTCTGTTTGCTGTTCTTTTCCTTTGCATTCTGAAAAAATATCTCAAGTTTTCTTAAAATTTACTGATTCATTTTCCACAGTTTCAGTTCTGTGCTTTTTTCATTTCTGTATGAATTTTTTTTAATAATTCTATTTATTTATTTTTTCCCCCAAAGCCCCAGTAGATAGTTGTATGTCATAGCTGCACATCCTTCTGTTACTGTATGTGGGACGTGGCCTCAGCATGGCCAGAGAAGCGGTGCGTTGGTGCACGCCCGGGATCCGAACCCGGGCCGCCAGCAGTGGAGCACGCGCACTTAACCGCTAAGCCATGGGGCCGGCCTACATGAATTTTAATTGGTATTGCATTTTTCGTTTCCTTGCATCTTCCTTTTTTTAAAGTATCATATCCTTTTGTCCTTTTATCTAAGTTCATATCTTTTCATTTCAGCCTATTATCTTCTTAATGCTGTCTCTTCCTTACTGGCATACTTTGTTTATCCTGATAATACAGTGGAGTGAGAACTATCAGAAGCTGTCAGTGAGCACTAACATTTTACTGTACAATTACTCTATATTCTTTGCTTTATATGCTTCTGCAGAGTCTCTCTTCCATTACCATCTTATTTTCTAGAGGAAGGTTTTTGTTTTTGTTTTTAGAGGAAGGTCTTTTGAAAGTTTTATTGCTTTTCCAAGGATAAACAAACATGGGGTTGTTTTAATGGTTAAATTACATACTGATGATAGTAGCTCTGGAGGAAAGTGGGTAAACCTTAGATGAATGTGGGTTATGCTCTAAGCCTAGCCACAATTGCAGAGATTGCAGAGGTGATAAATTATGATGTTGGAAAAAATTACGATAATGGGAAGAACTATGCTTTAATAATTCTCTATAGTGCAGATTAGTTCGCATTCCCTTCTCTAGAAATGCCCTCTGCCTCTCATTATAGAATTATTTTCAGTACCATGTTCCACTGTCTTATTCACTTTTTATTCTCTGCTGTATTCCCAGCTCCTAGTTTAGTGCCTGGCACATAGGCAATTTATACAAATTTTTTTGAATGTACGAACAAATACATACTACACTACTATTTCATGGAGGCCAAATCTCATTGTGTAGTGTTGAGAATTCCAAACATTTTACTAAAAATTTCTTCAGAAATCTAGATAATTTTCAGAGGTATCATTTCTTTGACTCTTCAAGGATTGTGTTTCCTCTACCTTGTGGGTGGCATTTTTTCCATAGTTCCTACATCATGTTTCCCCCTACACACACTTTTTGCTCATCCTTTTATGACCTGAGATCTGTGTAGACTTGATGCCAGCAGTGGTTGGTTGCTGTTGGCACTAAACTCTCTACTTGGGTAAAGGATGTGTTTTCTTCTCAGATCTACAGCTAAAATGGCCAATCAATTTGCACACCTTTCTCTCTTTTTTTTTTTTTTTATAATTTTATTTATTTATTTTTCCGCCAAAGCCCCAGCAGATAGTTGTATGTCATAGCTGCACATCCTTCTAGTTGCTGTATGTGGGACGCAGCCTCAGCATGGCCGGAGAAGCGGTGCGTCGGTGCGCGCCCAGGGTCCGAACCTGGCCGCCAGCAGCAGAGTGCGTGCACTTAACCGCTAAGCCACGGGGCAGCCCCACCTTTCTCTCTTAAATTCCAGTTGCTAGCAGGCTTTCACTTGGTACAGCTTTGCTCTCTAAGGATGACATCTTTTCTTGGAACTGCACCCTGGTTCTTTGACACTGTCTTGAAGAGAGTAGGTGAATAAGTGCTATTTGTCTTGTCTCTGTCCTATCTATAGCGTTTACCTGTTAGAAATCCACTTTGGAGGATTCATTGTGCCACCATTGGCTCTTTCTGCTGTTATCTTATGAACTTATTTTCTAAATGGGTATACAAAGATGGTGGTCAGGGAAGTGAGCAGAAACAGACTCTTTGGCTTTGTCATAAAGTAATACCTGGATGGTATATGTTGGCTGCAAGATTTTCTAGGTGGTATACTCCCCAGGTCTTGTTAGTCAAGAGGCAGGAAAGACATAAATTGCCTTTTTTACCACCTCCCCCCCTTTTTTAGCCAATCTCTATTTCATGTGGTGAGGCCCTGGTATTTATCAATACAGTGCCATCAATCTTGTATAAGAATGTGGAGAATTGTTCCACATTCTTGTGTTAGGTTTCTTTAGTAGTGTTCAGTTATTGATAGCGTAAAATTTTTTCTATTTTTTTTGGTGTCTTCATAGGCATTTGGGAATGCCTATGGGAAAGGCCACACTGAATTCTGCTATTTAGACATAATTTGAAACCTGGAGTTTAATAAGGCTGATTTAACTCAAGCTGATTGGTTGAGTCCTCTCCGAGGATTGTTTCCTCTAGTTGCAGTTTTTGCCCCCACCCTGATTTGTATTTTTCCCAGTTCTGCTTGCTTTTCGTTTTTATTCTTACTTACCTGTAATTAGACTTTTCCCCCTCCAACAGTAGAATAACGAGAAGTCTATATTGTTAGTAGAGACAGGCCCTCTTAGTAGAGGGCTTTTAAGACATTTGCTAGACCATGTTCTGAGTCTCTGATAATTCAAAAAGAAGCAAGGAGAAAGGGGGTGTGAGTAAAGTTGTGCTAGAGCTTGAATCTGTGATGTGCCAGGGCCTGTATTGATTGAGGGAGGATTGCCAGCTGGCCATGGTAGTAGACATAAGTCTCTTGGGAATGGGAACTAACTCTAGAGGATTTCTAGTTAAGACTTACCACAGAATCTCTGGGCAATTGGAAATATTGTATTCTTTCCTGGGGAGATGGAGTGGGAATTAACTTTTCCCTTGGTCAAGTGTGACTTGGTTAGAAATACAATTGAACCTGTGTGTTTTGTCCACTGTGATGTGATAGCCGCCTAGGAAGGGTCTGTTTTGTGTGGGAGTTGATTTCAAGCTGTCTCCTTGCTTGTATTGTTTCCTTTAACAGCTCTTTAAATTTTCTTTTTCCAGCAATGATGTTGTCCACTGGGCATGTACTGACCAATGTGGCAGGTCTGAGAACATAGCTGAAGCTGAAAATAGGAAAACTGGGGGCAAGGAAGAGCCTTGAATCTTGAGGTGGGACGTTGACTCTAAGATGTCCTTGAGCAGTGGAGCCTCCGGAGGGAAAGGAGTGGATGCAAACGCGGTTGAGACATACGACAGTGGGGATGAATGGGACATTGGAGTAGGGAATCTCATCATTGACCTGGACGCCGATCTGGAAAAGGACCAGCAGAAACTGGAAATGTCAGGCTCAAAGGAGGTGGGGATACCGGCTCCCAATGCTGTGGCCACACTACCAGACAACATCAAGTTTGTGACCCCAGTGCCAGGTCCTCAAGGGAAGGAAGGCAAATCAAAATCCAAAAGGAATAAGAGTGGCAAAGACGCTAGCAAACCCACTCCAGGGACTTCCCTGTTCACTCCAAGTGAGGGGGCAGCTAGCAAGAAAGAGGTACAGGGACGCTCAGGAGATGGTGCCAATGCAGGAAGCCTGGTTGCTGCTATTGCTCCCAAGGGCTCAGAGAAGGCGGCTAAGGCATCCCGCAGTGTAGCCGGCTCCAAAAAGGAGAAGGAGAACAGCTCATCTAAGAGCAAGAAGGAGAGAAGCGAAGGAGTGGGAACTTGTTCAGAAAAGGATCCTGGGGTCCTCCAGCCAGTTCCCTTGGGAGGACGGGGTGGTCAGTACGATGGAAGTGCAGGGGTGGATACAGGCGCTGTGGAGCCACTTGGGAGTATAGCTGTTGAGCCTGGGGCAGCGCTCAATCCTTTGGGAGCTAAACCGGAGCCAGAGGAAGGGGAGAATGAGTGTCGCCCGCTAAAGAAAGTCAAGTCTGAAAAGGTAAGAGGTGGCCAGATCTGGCTGCCCATTGCCAGTCAGAACTGCCCTGGACTAATCGCCAAATGCTGTGTGCACTATGTGGGAGGCTCATTAGTTTGTGGGTAAAGACCAATTGTAAGGTCAGAGCAGCTGATAATGATAATGTGGTTTTGTTCTAAATTAGGGAATTCCCTACAGATTCATGAACAGCAGACCTGGACATTTTGGAGAAGAATATCTGTTGTTGGGGGCAGCTACTTGTAGAATGAATTTTCTATAAATCAGGTTGAGAACCTCCCATCTTGTCCTTGTCCCACCTAAGACATTTGTTGCTAGAGGCTGGCATCAACCTTTATGTGATTCCCAGCTTGTCTGGCTTTTCATCCTCAGAGTCATTGATAAACTTAATAATAAGTGGAAACTTGATAGGCTTTTGGTTGAGTGCTGTTCTTAATGGGATAAATGATTCTGCTGGGTCTCTGGAAGAGAAATGGGTTAAATAAGTTTCATGGCATGATATCTACCAAGTGTTCTATTGGTGGCTACCAAAGAGCAAAGGGGCACAGTTTGGGGCAGGTAAACAAGGGAGCAGGAGATACTGACTGTATTAAGAGGTACTTAATCAGGCCTTATGAGATACTGTTATGGCTATGCAAGTTTGGTCTTGAAAGAGATTCTTTGGCCGCTAAAGTTATAGTTCTTGGCCAGGTATCTCCCTCAACTATTGGGAATCAAAGTCTCCTGGTGTTAATAGCTGCCAAACAGTGTAATGATACCTTGCCTTCTGCTTGACTTGGAAGGACTGGTGCCTGCAGCCCCAGGAGGGGCTCTCCTCCTCTGGGAAGATGATCTTAGTTCATGTCCAGGAAATGGTGCTTGCAGAGTTGGAGCAGAGTAGATGTGAGTCTAGGGTCAGCTCAGGCTGCCTTCAACTTCAGCAGCTTACAGTTTCCTGCAAAGCAGCTGGCCTGGTGATGAGCTGTTCATTGGCTCTTGCTTTTCTGCTCTGTGTTCTGTTCACTCTGTGCTTTCAGCTGATCCTAGCAGATGCAGTATAAATTGATTTCTCTGTTATTACATCAGCTGCAGCAGGGAATACCTATTTCCATATGTAAGTGTTTATAAATAGAGGCTGGATATATATGTTTGGGTGGTGGTGCTCTCTCAGTGCCTGGATTCTAGTGGTAGCTTGCGCTTTCTTTGCTATAGGTATTTTAGTCTTGCCTCTGGCACATCTGTAGCTCTTAGCAACATCTGGGCTTCCCCGGTAACAGGGCTGTGAGTTTTCTTCCACTAATAACGCAGTGGTTCATTCCCTTTTACCAGTGGCAGCGGCCAGAGAGGCTGCCTGTGTTTAGGTGGCGGATGCTGTAGTCCACCTCAGTAGAGTCAAGTTCCAGCTGGTTACTGGCATGGCTCATCCCGTGCTGGCTGGGATTTACCATTTTCTCTGGGGTGCAGATGGATAATACTGTTTTAAAGAGGCCTAAGAGTACTAGGAGTTCTTGCTTCTGTTCCAGACCCATTAGACTGTTCCCTACATCTGGCTTCAGTAAACTCTTGCTATATATCCGTGTTCATAATCATTGTTCTTCCTGTGCTGGAAAGTGGCCACTTCTGAGAGTGGCCTTCATTTTCCTTTCTGTTTAGAACTCTTGACTCATGTTGCAGTCTTCTAAACGCGGTAGTAGTCTGTGGGTGAAAGGATTAATGATGCTTAGCTTCATGTTGGATTTAAGTCTAAATGTCCATGATAGTCTCCATCAGAGAAGCAAATGGAACCCATTTTCTCTTAAGGGTGCAGGGACTGGTTGGGTGGCTGCCCTTCAGATTATAATTGGGCTGAAAGATGCAATACATTTAAGCTAAGACTACACCTTGGTGCCAGGGAGGTTTGCCCATTAATAATGTAGCTGTGCTATAAGCTTTGTCTCCCAAGGAGACTGAGAGTAGGGCAGTGGAATGAGAGAGAAAAGGGAGAGAGACTGTGCTTCAGTTTTTGGAAGAAAGATAAAATTGCTGGGAAGTACTTTTAGAAGCAGAAAACTTGCTGTGCAGTTTGATGTTACTGTAGGCAAGAACCTGCTTTCTCAGTTCCTTTCCCTGTTCCCTCATCTGTTTTGAACAGTCTGGCTCTAGGGGTGCCTTTCCATAAAGCCTTTGACCATTGAAATAAATAATTATTTAAATAAATGTTTGGAAGTTGCTAGGATATGAAAACACTGTGCAGGGAGAGAGCATTTCTGGAATGGAAGGAGGGGAAGACAAGTTAACGGAAAGAAGGCTAGGAATCTTGCAGTGGAGCAGCTTTTGAGAAACCAGGAACCCAGGGTTTGGGGCATAATAGGTGCTCAATCACTGTTTGATGATTAGTACTGTAGCTTATAAGATATGTCTTTGAAAATTTCTTGAAGACTTTTCTCTCTGAGATATGGGCTTGCCTATGGCTTAACTGGTTTGGAATGTTCCTTCCATGTGGGGGCAACCAACAGAACCAAAACAGCAAAACAGATGTTTTGATATAATCTAAGAATTACATACTCTGAGCTGGGAACTGTCATGAAGAGGGAAAACTCGTAAAATTTGGAAAGTGTCTTGATTGGAGTCTCCCCACCCCCACCCCCCTTGGAAAAAGGAGAGAAGACAAATGGAGTTTGTGGTGTAGGATAGAATTGTCACATGTCTACTACTAGCTAATGAGGGATATTTGAATATTCAAATTATCTACCTCAGGACCTCTCTCATCAAGGTAGACATCTCAGACTATGGCTGAGGGAATTTTCTCTCAGACTATGGCTGAGGGAATTTTCTCTCAGACTATGGCTGAGGGAATTTTCTCTCAGACTATGGCTGAGGGAATTTTCTCTCAGACTATGAAGATGTGAATTTCCCTTCATAGAATCCCACTTTTGCTCCACCACACCTCTCTCTGCTAGGGCTCACTGTGCTATTGCCCAGAGTTCTAGGAGAGACCAGAGATGGCTCTTAGCAACTGCTGCTGCCCTGAATTGTTATTGAACACTCCTGCCTCATACTTCCTGCCAGCTGAAGAGATGGGGGAGAGAGTGTTATGGAATAAACAAGACAGAGCCTTCCGGCTCCTGCCTATTCCCTTGCCTTTGGTTTGATTGATAGGTTAAGTTAGTGATGGAAGGGGAGGTGGGGAGGTAGGGAGGAGGGAGTGTGCCTGTCTGAATGTCCCAAGCTTAGTGATTGCATTGCCACTCTGACAAGCAAGAAAAAAAGAATTCACAAACCACAGAAGGCAAAGATCTATCCAAGCCGACTCTGTCAGAGTCAGGGCTTAAACCAGGAGTTTAAGGTGAGAATCCTTTTTTTCCCAGATCATATGAAGTAACCTGTAGGCTCTAGTGGCTAAAGGATCCAGAAGTTTGCAACCAGAAGCTCCCCTTGCCTCTTTTTAGCTCCTGATTTTGATCTTGCAAGGTAGGAACACTCTGCACTCTGCTTTGCCCGTGTTTGTCTCAGCTTCTGCTGCTCTCAGAATGCTGCATATATTTACCACTTCCCCCGTTAGTTTAGGATACAAAGAAAATGATAAAGTGTGCTCTTTGCTCTTTTGCCTTCTGATCATGCTTGCTATCATATCCTGTGTTCTAAGAGCATCTTCCTTTGCCCTTGGTTTTGTTTTCCTGCCCTAGTTTATGCCTTCCAGCTCAGTTCTCTCGTGTTGCAATCCCTCATTGCCCAACCAAGGTCAGGTCTCTTTTATTCCTTCTGATCCAAGGCTTTCTCTCTTAACACATTCCTCCTTCACTAGCTGTTGTTTCTCAGCTATTGGTGGCATAGCAGTCAGCCTTGCTTCCTGAAGCCAGATGACCTCAAGCATTTTCCTTCATGGAAAAAATTTAAAAGAAGTTGATATTTATGTGGGACAGAGATGCATTCTCTAACTACAACGGCGCTTGAGCTTGCTTTATTTTTTCTTCAGCGGCTCTGTTTTCCATCTGGGTGTTGTAACTCAAGGAGAGCCCAGAGAAAAATTATCTTGTCCAATCTCCTCATTTTATAGAAGAGGAAACTAAGACCTGCCTAGGATCTCACAGGTAGTCCATGGCAAAGCCAAGCATACAAACCAGGTTTTTGGTTACCAAGTTCTAATGGCATATTGTTACTCTAGGATTTTTAACAAATCTTTAACTGTTATGAGGAATTCTCTATTTTCCCACTTTAAAGACTACCTTGGAAACACTGGAGATAAATGCCCAGATACTCTTAAGACTGCTTTCATTTGTTTTTCATACTGGTTTTAACATTGTAGTCACTCAGTAAACAAAGGATCTTTGAGTTTAGGTTTTCTTGGTAAGGTGATAATGTTTGCAAGACCAACCATTTACAGCTGGCACTGAACCTATCCTATTATATATAAAGAGGGAAAGTTACTTTTAATTCTTTTTGTGTGTGTGTGTGAGGAAGATCAGCCCTGAGCTAACATCTGATGCCAATTCTCCTCTTTTTTCTGAGGAAGACTGGCCCAGAGCTAACATCGTGCCCATCTTCCTCTACTTTATATGGGACGCCGCCACAGCATGGCTCGACAAGCAGTGCATCGGTGCGTGCCTGGGATCTGAACTGGCGAACCCCGGGCCGCCGCAGCAGAGCACACACACTTAACCACTTGCACCACCGGGCTGGCCCAAGAAAGTTACTTTTAAACTGCTACTTTGAGCTTGACTTCTTGCGGGAACCGTGTGTGTGTATGTGTGTGTTCTAGAATGTTGCATTCAGTCAGATTTTCATTGTAATCATTGAATCATTGCCAGTTCTGTCTTTACTTGGCAATTGCAGGTAAGTACAAAAGTCCCTGCCCTGGTGTTTCCTGGACATATCACTAATAGGCAGACCTTAAATGTATTGTGGATATTAATTGTTTTGTAAAGAGATGATATACTGTTGGATACCATTATCACCTTTAATTCATTCAGAACGTTGAGTGCATTTTATAATTTTATTTATTTATTTTTTCCCCCAAAGCCCCAGTAGATAGTTGTATGTCATAG